TGCATATCTAGATGGAAATATAATGGAGATTTAGCACAGCTGATAAATAGTCAGCAATTGTAAGATCTATCAACCAATAGGTTGCAAGTTCGAACCCCGAGTTTGGCGTGAGCTGCCAAATGACACCCTAGCTCAATGTTTACCTAAGCAATTTGAAAATTAGAAAAATTAGGTACTGCTAAAAAGCAGGGGAGGTGTTTTACGACGCCATAAAGAGAGAAGATCAGAAAATGCTGGGCGACCAAAAGGAAGGAGGAAGTCCTGACAGCTCTTCATTGTAGAGGATAGAGCAACAGCACCCCCTGGACTCAAGCCCAACCTTCCATGGCATCAAAAACAGCTGGACACTGAATCGAAGCAAACCACCTCCTTCTGTTGTCTGTCTGTTTGTGTATTGTCTATACAAAATGGCATTGAATGTTTGTGTGATCCGCCCTGAGTCCCCTTCAGGGTGAGAAGGGCAGAATATAAATAAATAAATAAATAAATAAATTATTATTATTATTTATGGAACTAGATGATAATATAATGCCCACGTATACAAGGCTGGAGCCTAATAGCACAGTCCCATATGTATTCAGAAGTAAGTTCCACTGAACTACATTATTTCTCTGTCATTCAGTAGCAAGGCTTTTATTTGGAAAAGATTGAAGGCAACACCATATAAAGACTCCGAAGAGCCATTGCTAATAGAGTGCCAAATGGTCAGGTTGGTGATGACTAAAGCCTCTTCTACACTGCCATATAAAATCCAGATTATCTGCTTTAAACTGGATTATATGGCAGTGAAAACTCATATAATCCAGATCAAAGAAGATAATCTGGATTATCTGATTTGATAATCTAAATTATATGGCAGTGTAAAAGGGGCCTGGTGTAAAATGTTGTCTACAAAGGCAGAAAAAAATCTGATTCAACTTGCATATTCCTAGTCTGCAGTGACCACATTAACACCACATACATCTATTGCATTGAAATGAGAATGGCATTACCAGGCCCATGTGTCCCCTGTGCAAGATCACTTTGATGTTAAAGAGTGGTCCTATAATGATCATGTGTGCTATATTTCACATTTCTAACCACACGGCCAAGCCTGCTCCACTTATTTTCCCTTCCTTATGTATGCATATACACAGGTACACAATATATGTATGTGCCTTAATAGGGCTTTGGTGAAGCAGCTGGTTTTTAAATGCTGATCAACAGAGGTATCGATGTGCAATGACCTGGATGAACACACTTTCAAAAAATAGTGGACAATCATATCCATAGAAATGCACACCGAAAAAACATGATGGCTATAGCACTCTTGCAAAAGAGAAACAAGTAGCATTTTCTGGTGGGAAGGCACAGGGGACCTCCCATCTACTTGTGCCATCTACCCTTTGGCTCGGTACTGAAGCTAACTCGGACTCTGGGCACATGGTTTTTCAGAAAGGGGCAGGGCAAAAAATTGAACTTTCAAACTCAGATTTCAGTCCTCAGGGATGAAAAAAAGAACTGAATTCGATTCTAATCCTCAAGAACACTGTTATGCCAACAACGGATATGAGATAGGAACAATTTTGTTCATCAGTGTAGACAACACCTAAGAGGGCTTTGTGGGTCTATATACCTACAGTCTGGTGTGCTTAAGATTGCAACTAGGTCTAGTTTTCAGTGGCTACCCATGAGGCAGCAGCTACACCATGAATAGTAAACGTGTGACCCTCCACATGTTGTTGGACTGTAACTCTCATAATCCGTAGCTAGCTAGGTCAATGAGGGGCCATAGGAGCAGTGGTCCAACAACATTTGCCATTTCTGAGTTATGCTTTTATTCTGAGCCAACACACAGGACCAGCACTTTCTTCCACATGCTTCCAGTCCCAACCTTATCAGTGAAAAAGCAGAATTGTGGTCTAAAGTTCCTTTTATTAAGCAACCGCCATATTTTATTGTACCTTATCATCTCATTACAGTGTAACAAAAATTGAAAAAAAAACCTGTTCCTGGTTTGAAAGTGTTATTTCCTGTTTAATCATGCAGTGCTTACTTTGAAAGTAGTTGTTCTATTCCAGAAACTTCATTTTTGTGGCTGCCCCAAACTATGTTAAATTGGTTGAGACTCAATGAAGAATTTACTGAAAAACTATAGCAAAATGTGCTGCAGGATGTCCCGCCAAAACAAAGTTTTTGTGATTTAATAAACCTTTTCTGTGTTTTTATGATAGAACCAATTAAGAAATGACATTTATAACCCAGGAACAAAAATCATGTTACATAGTGTTATCAGGAAGACCATTGAGCAACTTGGGTCAAAGTCATCAGCAAGGAGCTAATATTTACCAATGAATATGGCTTCAGCTTTCCTTACAGATTCTCCTGGATCAATTGCTTCATGGATACTGTCTAGCTTATAGCCTACAGAAAAGAGAAGAGAGGCCGAAAAACAATCAATAAGTTAAGTGGAGCACTGTCAAGGGACTTGAAAACCATTTGAAAACCAGGATAAGTATCCTCTGGGAAGAATGAAGTGCTGCAATGAATCCTGGACCAAGAGACTAATAGAGCTGCAGGGGCCCCTTTCGCAGGGTTAACAATTTAGCTTGAAAAAGGCAATTAAGAGAAACTACTCAGGAATGTTAACTGGGAGTACACAGCCCTTCACATCTGCAGGTTTAATTTTCATGGATTTGATCATTTGCACGATTGATTCATATGTTCCCTCCAATCATCTCTAGATTTCCAGCAGAGTTGCACTGGATGAGCTAGGGAATCCTAGAGAGAACATGGTTCTAGGCATTTGCAGGTCCTCTGGCATGATTTGCTGATTTTTTTAAATTTTGTCATGTCGGGAGCGACCTGAGAAACTGCAAGTCGCTTCTGGTGTGAGAGAATTGGTTGTCTGCAAGGATGTTTTGTTGATGCTCAGTATCAAGGGGAAGTCGACCAAAGTCATGCTGAAGGACCTACAGGTTCCTAGAAGAGTATTTTCTCAAGGGGGAAAATGTCTGAACAGTAAATATCTGAACAGTAAAACATGGCTTTCCATCCTATCCAGGTCACTTAGATTGAATGCAAGGAGACAAGGCTTTCGGCTTACCTCCATTCCTTGAGCTACCAAAATGAATTCAATCTACCACACATGTCTATTAGGCTTCTTGAATTCTGGGGCCATTTCATTCCAAAATGATAGTGTTGAGGCTCAGTCTCCCAAAATCTCTAGTATGTATTTCCAATCAGACATTAGAAACGAGATTAAAATACAATAGTTTAATTTGCAGGACAACACTATCGGGTGGGTACAATTGCACTGGAGAGCTCTGGGTCACAAGTTCTGCAGTAACTAAATGAGCAAGATGTAACATTTTTTTTCAGGATGTAGGGACAGTAATTTCAAACCTAAGGATGAGGGTGAAAGGAAGGCCAATGGCTGGGTACTCACTAGCCTATGTGCCCTTCTGCTCCAGATCCATCAATGGCAAACTTTCTTACCTAAACTTTCAAACTTTTCCCTGGCCATCTTGGCATAGGCATTTCGGTCGTGCAGAGCATAAGGAACGAAGAGAACACGCTTCACATTCCTGGGTAAGATAACAATGTCACAACATTAGCCAAAGTCTGCAATCGGATAGCATCCCTCTATGGCAAGGTTTTAAATGAATGCTAGAAATGTGGAGACTGGAGAGAAGCTTTGTTGGCGGCATGTTTCTTATTTGGAAAGCTATACCCTCCCGGATTACAAAATTATTTATTTATTTACTTTACTTTACTTCTATACCGCTTTTCTCAGCCCTTAGGCGACTCAAAGCGGTTTACATAATAGAAAATCACAAGACAGTATCAAAAGCAGGTTAAAACACATTATACATTCTATATAACAATCAATATCAAAAGACAATCATTATCATAATCATATCGCCTCAACAACAAATCAGAATCCTTTCTCGTAATCCTTGTTCCATATTGCTATGTTCGATTGCACCGTGTTCCTATATTCCATTGCACTGATTAGCCAAACGCTTGTTCGAAGAGCCAGGTCTTCACCTTCCTCCGGAACGCCAACAGCGAGGGGACCTGTCTGATGTCTGCAGGTAGGGCATTCCACAGCCGAGGGGCCACCACCGAGAAGGCACTGTCTCTCGTCCCCACCAGATGCGCCTGCGATGCAGGCGGGACCGAGAGCAGGGCCTCCCCAGACAATCTTAGACATCCCTACTCAATAATGGCAACCCACACACAACTATTCACAATTTCCAGCCTGTGGCTCCCCAGGTGTTTTGGCCTACAACTCCCAGAAATCCCAGCCAGTTTACCAGCTGTTAGGATTTCTGGGAGTTGAAGGCCAAAACACCTGGGGACCCACAAATTGAGAACCACTGCTCTAGATTATCAAGGCAGGAAACCCCACATTATCTGAGTGTGGACTGAGGGAGCTTCCACGCAGCTGATTAAAATCCCACCTTATTTGCTTTGAACTGGAATATATGGCAGTGTGGACTCACATAACCCAGTTCAAAGCCTGATATTCTGGGATATAGGGCTGTGTGGAAGGGCCCAAGTGGTCACAGGAAAATTAGTACAATACCAAGTTTGTAAACTTTGTGGTTTTCTAATGCATTAGAACTGTATTATCAATCAGCTTCTGACAGGATAAATCAATAAACTCCCACAACTCCTAACAGGCGGTAAAGTGGGTGGGATTTGTGGGAGTGGAAGGCCCAAACCCCTGAGTGGGGGTGGGTGGGGAGTTGTGCCAGGCCTGCTGCCCTGGGGCTTGAGTTGTGGGCTGGGTCCAAGGGAGCCCTTACTGGCCGAGGAAGCTGCGGATGTGGCTCTGGCAGTGGTCGAGGTAGCCTCCCCCGTGGAGGGTGGAGTTGGAGACCAGCAGGAGGCGGCGGCGGAGGCTTGCAGGGTCCCCCATCGGGAGAGGGGCTCTGCTCCTGAGGAGGCGCCGGGAAGCCAGCTCGGAAGGAGGAGGAGGAGAGGAAGGGAAGCCAAAGCAGGAGGTGGACAGCTCCTCCCTCCCTCCTTCCCCTGAAGAGGAGGGAGGCGGGCCTGCCTTCCTGCCTGCACAGCCCCTTCCTCCCTTGCTCCGGCCTGCCGCCTTGGCCTTCCTCTCCCCCTTTCTCTCCCTGTCTCCTACTCCTCTTCCGCCATGCTGGACTTCGCCATCTTCGCCGCCACCTTCCTGCTCCTCTTGGTGGGAGCCGTGCTTTATCTCTACCCGGTAAACCAGGAAGAGGAGGAGGATTGGGGGAAAAGGGGGGCTCACTTGGAGAGGCATCTCAGGCCTCCTGAAAAGGCCAGCGTGGGGCATCCACACTGAGGAAGGAGGAATACCGCTTGAACCGCCACGCCTCAGCTCTCAAGAATCCCCCACAGCCCTATATCCCAGTTCAAAGCAGATATTGTGGGATTGATATTCTGATATTCTGGTTTATAGGGTTGTGGGGAAGGGCTCTACATCACTCTCTCTCTTTCAGGGCCCTTCCACACAGCCCCATATCCCAGAATATCAAGGCAGGAAATCTCACAATATCTGCTTTGAACTGGGTTATATGGTAGCGTGGACTCAAGTAACCCAGGGCCCTTCCACACAGCCCTGTATCCCAGAATATCAAGGCAGGAAATCCCAATGTATGTGCTTTGAACTGGATTATGTGGCAGTGTGGACTCAGGTGACCCAGTTCAAAGCAGACATGGTGGGATTTCCTGTGTTGATATTCAGGGGTATAGGGCTGTGAGGAAGGGACCTGAGAGAGAGAGATGTAGAACCCTTCCCCACAGTCCTATAACCCAGAATATCAAGGCAGGAAATCTCACAATATCTGCTTTGAACTGGGTTATATGGCAGTGTGGACTCAAGTAGCCCCGGGCCCTTCCACACAGCCCTGTATCCCGGACTATCAAGGCAGGAAATCTCACAATATCTGCTTTAAACTGGATTATATGGCAGTGTGGACTCAGGTAACCCAGGGCCCTTCCACATAGCCATATAACCCAGAATATCAAGGCAGGAATATCAAGGCAGGAATATCAAGGCAGGAAATCCCACCATGTCTGTCTGGGATATATATGGCAGTGCGGATTCAGGTAACCCAGTTCAAAGCAGATGTGGGATTTCCTTCCTTCATATTCTGGGATATAGGACTGTGGGGAAGGGCTCTACATATCTCTCTCTCAGGGCCCTTCCATATAGCCATATAACCCAGAATATCAAGGCAGGAAATCACACTTATTTGCTTTGAACTGGATTATGTGGCAGTGTGGACTCGGGTAACCCAGTTCAAAGCAAATATTGTAGGATTTCCTGCCTTGATATTCTAGGTTATAGGGCTGTGGAGAAGGGCTCTACATCTCTCTCTCTCTCTCTCTCTCTCTCTCTCTCTCTCTCTCTCTGGGCTCTTCCATACAGCCCTATAACCCAGAATATCAAAGCAGGAAATCCCACCATATCTGCTTTGGATTCTATGGCAGTGTGGACTCAGGTAACCCAGTTCAAAGCAGATATTGTGGGGTTTTCTGCCTTGATATTCTGGGTTCTAGGGCTGTGTGGAAGGGCCCTGGGTTATCTGAGTCCACACTCAGAGAATGTGGGATTCTCTCCCTTGATATTCTGGGATATAGGCCTGGGTGGAAAGAAAGGCCCAGAGAAGTCTTGCTTTTTCTTTTGGAGAGAAGGCTTAAGACTTTGCAAAACTGCACTGAGCTCAAAGCTTTGTAAGTGGTGTCAGTTCCACAGTGTAGATGCACTCCTTGAAGGTCAGCCCTGGATCTACACTGCTCTATAATATAGGGCCCTTCCCCACAGCCATATAACCCAAGGCCCTTCCACATAGCCCTATATCCCAGAATCTCAAGGCAGAAAATCCCACCATATCTGCTTTGAACTAGGTTATTTGAGTCCACACTGCCATATATTCCAGTTCAAAGGAGATAATGTGGGATTTATTTCAGCTGTGTGGAAGCGGACCCAGTTTCTGACTCCAGGTTCGCTGCTTTGACAATCTGGATTATCTGGCAGTGTAGACCTATCCAATCCAGTTCAAAGCAAATAATCTGGGACCAGATCCTCTATTATAGGGCAGTGTAGATCCAGCCTCAGTGGGGCTTAATTCCAAGAAAGCAATAAGTCGTATTGAATTCAGTGGATCTCTACAAGTCTATAGAAATATTCTATAGACTTGTATGGGGATATTAGAATGACAACTTCCCTCTTGGCATTTAGAAGAAAACTAAAGACCTGGATATGGGAACAAGCTTTTGGCCATTCTGATAATTAATTCAAGGACCGGCGACAGACAATAACAATTGGACAGAACGGACATATGGACTCTGGTATATGGACTCTGACATGAGATTGTTTTTAGGATTTATGCTTTTATCATGTATTGTTGTTAATTTAACTGTTGAATTTTATATCTTTTGATTTTGTTGTGTGTTTTGGGCATCTAATTGTGCCCTCTATGTAAGCCGCCCTGAGTCCCCTTAGGGGTGAGAAGGGCGGGGTATAAGTGAATAAAATAAATAAATAAAAATAAATACTTCCTGGGCTCTGGATCTACACTGACATATAAAACAGATTATCAAAGCAGATAATCCTGATTACCTGCTTCAAACTGGATCAGATGAATCTACACTGCCATATAATCCACTTCAGATCTGGATTTTATATGGCAGTGTATATGTGGCCTGAGGAGTCATATAGAATTGGATATTGCAAACAAGGTCTCAATACACTTTTAGCAATCGTACAGGCTGAGACTTAGGGCCTTTCCACGCAGCCATATATCCCAGAATATCAAAGCAGAATAACCCACAATATCTGCTTTGAACTGGGTTACCTGAGTGCACACTGCCATATAGCCCAGTTCAAAGAAGATCACGTGGGGTTGTATTCAGCTGTGTGGAAGGGGCCTTGGGGCCTTTCCAGACAGGCCCTATATCCCAGGATCTAATCCCAGGTTTTCTGCTTTAAACTGCATTATATGAGTCCCCACTGCCACATAATCTGGGATAATCAAAAAACCTGGGATCAGATCCTGGGCCTGTCTGGAAGGGCCCTTCTCTAAAATGCTTGGGATGTAAGTCTGGAATTTTTTTAACTGGAATACCTGCATATGTACACACACATATATACATACATAGAAGCCTTGGAGATGGGGCCCAAGTCCAAACACAAAATTCCTGTATGTTTCATATACACCTTGTACATATAGCCTGAAGGCAAAGTTGTTGAACACAGAAACATCAGGAAAGAAAGATTGACAGCCACTCGTATGGAAAGTTTTCAAGTTTGGTGTATTTTGGGATTTTGGTTGAGGGATATTCAATTTGAGCCACCAATTCCTCATTAAATTTGCCCCTGAAGTTTTATCCATCTAGTGAAGTGCCAAGGCAAGACTCCTGAGCTGCTCAATAGAAGAGCAGCCAGTCCCCAAGTAAAAAAATACAAAATAGATCTAGGTGCAGTATAGGAATTGCACTGCAAATAATTTATACTTTTGCATCCTAAATACATAACTGAAAAGCACACTTGTCTTTATTTAAGGTAAAATATTTTGGATTATGACTATGGACCAGGGTTTGAATCCCAACTTGGCCATAGAAACCCACTGGGTGACAGTGGGCAAATCACACTCTCTGGCTACACTGCCATATAATTATTTATTATTATTATTATTATTATTATTATTATTATTTCACAGTTTTGTATACCGAGCTTCTCAACCTCGTCAAGGGACTCAGCCCGGTTTACAGCCATAAAAACATATACATTCATTAAAATATCATATATCACAAATTACAAAACAACTTTAAAAACACTAAATATAAAACTACAGTGGTCAGACGTCCTAATAAGATGGATCTATATCCACTTCCATCCAGAGTCCTATGGTGTTGTCTCATTCCTCGAAGGCCTGACTCCACAGCCACGTCTTCACCCGTTTCCTAAATGTTAGGATGGATGGGGCGGTTCTGGCCTCCAGAGGGAGAGAGTTCCAGAGTCGTGGGCCACCACCGAGAAGGCCCTGTCCCTCGTCCCCACCAGCCGCGCTTGCGAGGCTGGTGGGACCGAGAGCAGGGCCTCTCCAGATGATCTTAGTAATCTTGGTGGTTCGTAGGGGAGAATACGTTCGGAGAGGTAAAATGCAGATTATCTGCTTTGATAACCTGGATTATATGGCAGTGTGGAAGAGTCTGTAGTCATGAACAAAAATGCTTCTCAGGCCCCATCTACACTGCCATATGAAATACAGATTATCTGATTTGAACTGGATTATATGGCAATGTGGACTCATACAATCCAGTTCAAAGCAAATAATCTGGATTATCTGCTTTGATAATCTGGATTATATGGCAGTGTAGAAGGGGCCTCAGGCCCCTTGATGTGTGAGACTGAAAATTATCTCACTCCACCCCCAATGTGCCAGGAACCAGCACCATCTTTGTTCCCATTGGCAACCATTGTTTATTTCCTTCTCTGTAAATGGCCAGGGACAGGCAGCCAATGGCTCAGTTGAGGGGCCATCAATTTGTGCAGCTCTGCATTAAACCACATTGCATTTAGTGGGAAGTCTGGTCCTATAAATGGTTAAATACTTCATTTTTGGAATGTAATGACATGTTATAATCAATTCATCCTTCAATGGATTGTCGTCTGATTGTTGTTTTCTTCCCTAGTCTTCCAGGCAGGCCTCGGGCATCCCAGGGATGACTCCAACAGATGAAAAGTAAGTTTGTATTTGTCTTCTAGAGAATCTATATGCTATATATGCCTTGTGGGATTATTTATCTAGTTAAGATATGGTTCTTGTCCTTTCCCTTTCTGTGTATAGAGGGGCACTCCATAGATCAAGGAAGAAAACATCAACATTGTTAAGGGTAGCATTTGGAAGATCTCATGTTCCCCATCCCTGCGGTATATGGTCATCCTCACCAGAGTGGGCCCATTAAATCAATAAGATTTACCTATGTTTTGCCTTGCCATTCAAAAACAGATTAAGGCCCCCTCTACAGTGCCATATACAATCTGGATCATCTGCTTTGAACTGGATTATATGGCAGTGTAGACTCATAATCCAGTACAAAGCAGATAATCTGGATTATTAACAGGTATTTAGATTTGCTTTTCTCACTTCCGTTGCAGAGATGGGAACCTCCCAGACATTATGACTAGTGGGAGCTTGCACGCTTTCCAAGTCCATCTCCACGAGAAATACGGCCCCGTGGTCTCTTTCTGGTTCGGACGACGGCTTGTGATCAGCCTCGGGTCCATTGATCTCCTGAAGCAGCACATCAACCCCAACAGAACATGTGAGTTCTCTCCTTGGCCAAACCAAACCATTGTGTGGAACCATACAAACTGACACATTTATTGTAGCATAGAAGCCTCTGTTGTTTTTAGGACCTTATCACATTAGGAAATACTGCGTTTCTGAGACTGTTTGAGAATGATTTTGAATGTGTTCCATCACATGCCATTTACCCCATCCTGCCAGTATTCATCCATCTGCAAAGCATTGCAGAAACTTATTATTTGCAGACAGAATTTTAATTGTGTTTACTGAGTGCTGTTTTTGTGTGTGATAGGAAAATCTGTATGCATCCCCATCAGAAACTATACTTTTTAAAAGGTCATAGAGTGATGTGGGGGGTGTTTTGAATGGATTGGAAGGAGCCAGCAGTATTTTCACATCATAAGAAACGTAATTATCAGGTGTGATGAGGAGAGTATACATCCTGCCTCAATACAGTATGCATCCAGTCCTACAAAAAATGAGATGCATACTGATATAAACTGATTATATCCCAATGTGATAAGGTCCTTAATCGGTCTTAGGAGACCTTCCATTGGTAGATTATGTATATTTGAATGTAAGGCCCCTTCCATACAGCTGATCTGGACCAAATTTGGCACACAGCCAAATTCAACTACTTCACATACTGGTGGGGTTTGGGGAAAATGACAGAGGTTGATGGGACTTGCAGGCCACTAATATCCTTATTCATTTTCTAATGGGTCCTTTAAGAAAATTGAAAAACAAACAATGACTTTTTTTCTAGTGTGTATCCTTACCAAATTACCAGGTACCTAAGCTAGTAAATAGTAAAACATGGATTAGGACGCAAATGTCATTTTGTATGCATGCATTTTCAGTCCTCCTATTTAAGGGAGATTTAACATTTCAGTCCCATGTATTTGTATTCAGTTCCTACAGTAAGACATAAAATGGTTAATGATAACAGTCTGAGGGACCATGAACCAGTCCTTTGCTTAAAAAGTTTGAGGAGCACGGGAGGATTATTGGGGTCCCACCTGGTTCTGAGTGTCAGATGGTGACAATGGGAGATGTCTACAAGACTCTAGAAAACTATTAAAGATTATATACTGTCCCCCTTTCTGTTTAGCACTATGTGAAATAGCTCTATGTGAAATCTGTATGGAGCCCCTGGTGGTGCAGTGGGTTAAAGCACTGAGCTGCTGAGCTTGTTGATCGAAAGGTCACAGGTTCGATTCCGGGGAGCGGCGTGAGCTTCCGCTGTCAGCCCTAGCTTCTGCCAACCTAGCAGTTCGAAAACATGCAAATGTGAGTAGATCAATAGGTACCGCTCCGGCGGGAAGGTAACGGCGCTCCATGCAGTCATGCTGGCCACATGACCTTGGAGGTGTCTACGGACAACGCTGGCTCTTCGGCTTAGAAATGGAGATGAGCACCACACCCTAGAGTCAGACATGACTGGACTTAATGTCAGGGGACTACCTTTACCTTAGGAGCACACATGATGGAGAGAACAGTTGGACTCTTGGTCATTTCCCATCTTCTCCCTGGGGTTCAATTTTTAGACCCTCAAAACATCAGTAAATCTTTTTTATATCAGTACTATTATCTCATTTTTATAACTGCTACCTGGTTTGGTATGGTGCTCCGAATGAAGACTCAGATCCAAACATTCCTTTCTCAGCATTATGCATATTTTTATTTAATTCTCTCATGTCTGCCCTTAGTTTCCTTTTTATTCAGTTATAAATAGCCCCAAATATTGTAATATTTCTTCCTGGGGAGGTGCTTTTTCTGTTTGATCATTTTAGCTGCCCTTTTGAGTAGGTGAATGAACCTTCAGCAGTATGATTGATGCTGTCATTTCTATAGCTATGAGAATTCAGTTGCTGCATATTTTATACTGTGAATCACAAATCTACAGGGAGAAGTTTCTTGTGACAGAATCTTGAATCTGCGTCACCCACAGTTGGTGCTTTCTTATTTTTTCAAGAGACCATGAGATGACTTGGTTCTTGCTGCCTGTGGCAGATTGAACCTAGTTTGCCCCTCTAAAATTTGCCGTAACAGTTCTACTATTCACTCTATGAAAGGTGGATAAAGAGGCACAGAGATATTTTTGTTTTGGTATTCCTATGATCTTCCCTTGCCCTCCAGGCTAAACTGCACTAGGCTGTCCATGGGTGTGTGTAGAGAGATCCTGCCCTCAAAATGTTTTTTTCCAGTTGGATTGGGGTTGAACTAAGAGCAAAAAATAGAAAGGCACAATCTCCTCTCTCTTTTTAATTGTAATATCACCAGAATTGAATCTGCTTCTTCTTCTCATACTTATGTGTCCATGCTTTGGTCATGTGCCATCTTCTATTATATTCTTTGGCTGTGTTTCCGTTTTCTGGTCTCAAGTATTCTGCTTTTGAGATTATCATTTTGGCTACTCATTTAGATCATGTTACATCAGAGATGTTGATGTTCCTTCATTGGTTGACCATTACTTTTAGGATTCAGGGCAGATTTGTAGTTATAACTGCCCCCCCCCCCCCAATCTTTCAGCCCTCATTTCATTTTCTTTACATGCTCTGGAGCTTCGTTCTGTGTATTCTGTGGGTGTATCTACACTGTAGAATCAATGCAGTTTGACACCACTTTAACTGTCATGGCTCCCTGGCAGTTAAAGTGGCACTACCACTCTTTGGCAGAGAAGGCTAAAGACCTCATAAAGCTCCCAGGATTCCACCTATACAAAGGATGAGAAGAAAGAAGGGATTATGGAAATCTGTGAGAAGGAATATATTTGGCAGAGGCTTTGTTGACAGTACCAGTGTTTGCTGACTGCTCCTCTCATTGATTTTTAACCTCAATTAAAAGCCTTCTTGTTTTCCCAAGCTTTTAAAATTTCATTTAAAAGTTTAGGAATCCAGCCTTATACTTGTATATTGTGGTTATGTGTATTGATTAGCTTTCTTGTACTGCATTACATCCGTTTTTATATTAATTTTTGAATAGCTTTTCTTTATAATTGCATTGAGCTGGTTTTATATGTGTATTGCTGATTCCTTCCTATGCTCCTTGTTTTTCAAAAGATTGATAAATTGTATGGTTTTGTCAGGACTGGCTGTCTCTTGTTGTATGCTGAAAGTGCTGTATAAATATGTGACGGTAAAAAGAACAACCCAAGACCAAGCTGAAAACAGGACCGGTTGAATAGGTGTACCCTATTACAAACTGCATGCACAAAGAAGCTAAAAGTAGGCCAGCATGGTTTAAAAGTTTGACCGTTGGATGTTGACGCTGGAAGCTACAATTTGAATCCTTGCTCAGTCATGGTCATCTTGTGCACATCACAGTATTTTAGGGTACATCTGCATTGTAAAATAACAGTTTGTCATCACTTTAACTCTCATGGCTCAGTGTTATAGAATCATGGGATTTGCAGTTTGATGAGGCATCAGCACTATTTGGCAAAGAAGGCCAAAGCTTATGTAGAACTATAACTCCCATGATTCCAAAGCATTGTACCATGGCAGTTAATGCAGTGTCAAGTTAATGCATTAATTCTACAGTGTTAATAATAATAATAATAATAATAATAATAATAATAATAATAAATTAAATAATAAATATATTTAATACTGATATTGTACTATGCTAATAATATAATATATTGTATGTATATATATCTTGTAAGCCACTCTGAGTCCATTCGGGGTGAGAAGGGCGGCATATAAATGTCATAAATAAATAAATAACACTTTATTTATATTCTACCCTTCTCCCAGAGGGGACTCAGAGCGGATTACAGCATATAAACAGACACAGACAAACATTCACTGCCTTGTTACAATGAAATACAATGACACATAAATACACAGACAAGGCAAAGGCTTCTCCTTTCATTTCCGGCTCTGGAAGTAGTTCTCATCTCCAACTCTGGGGGAGGTCTCTTTCTTCATTTTCAAGCCAAGGAGCCTGCATTGTCTGTAGACACCTCCTGGTCGTGTGGCCAGCATGACTGCATGGAGCATTTTTTTGCTTTTCCCTTTGAGGTGGTACCTATTGAACTACTCATATTTGCAAGTTTTTGAACTGCTAGGTTGGCGGGACCTAGGGCTGAGAGCATGAGCTCACCCCATCCTGTGGGTTTGAACTGCTGACCTCCAGTTCAACAGTTCAGCACACAAGGGTTTAACCCATTGTACCACCACATCCCTAATGCTATTGATGCTGAGTCTCAGAGAAAGGCAAAAGATAAAGCCTTTGAACAAATCTTTCCAAGAAAAACTCATGATCGGTCGAAATGGCCTGAAGGTACACAACAAACAATATATCATTGTGACTTTCCATAAGATGTTATAAAAGTATTCTGCATCGGTGGGATGAGAGCCTTGTTAATATTTGGTTCCAACAACATGTTGTGTTGACTCTGATGACGTCAATAGCCCCCTTTAAGTATTCTTCTAAGGCTTCATGTAGTCTGTGAATGACAAGTGGAGGGAATAAAATACGAAAATTCTTCCATCCTCTCACGCTGCAAACAAAAATGCTTCTCTAGCCTCCAAAGATTTTTCTTTCTTTGTTTTGAAGAAAAGTCACAGACATTTACCACTTAGAGCTAGCAAGCGCTGAATGGGTCCACCCACTGCAGTAAAAAAAAGCCTAGGAAATAAACATACCTCTACGGGCAATTCTTTTGAAAATTGTGCAAGCTTCCTTACACCCTACAAGTTTTCTTCTTGGTCTCATTTGCAGTCCTAAAAACAATTTCTGAAGCAAAACCATCTCTTTGAAAAATTGCAGGGAAGATGTGATCCCTTGATTGTGGATATTTCAGGTCACAAATGACATGAATGTCTTAAACTTGTGCACATGGATGGCTGAGACAGTGACATCTTCGCTTTCAGATTGTTCAGTGCACACAAACGTTTCATGTGCAACATCATTAAACATCTATATAAATAAAAATGTAATGTTCATTTGTGGGATTAACATAACTTAAAAACCACTGGGCGAATTGACACCAAATTTGGACACAATACACCTTATCAGGCCAACGAGTGATCATCACTCATAAAAACACTGAAAACATTGCGGAAGAGACTTAAAAAGCCAAAAAATAAACAATACATTACAATGCATGCACAAGACCACATATATACAAATATACACATATATACACACACAAAACACATATATACACTGGGCTTCAGCAATGCGTGGCAGGGGACGGCTAGTATTTCATAAAATTACGTTCAGGCCTTGTTTTTAAGGTGTATATGAAACATAAATGTATTCTATGTTTAGACTTGAGGCCCATCTCCAGGGTTTCTCAGTATGTATGTATGTATGTATGTGCAAAAACAGGTTTCCAAAATCTGAAGTTCAAAGCACTTCTGGTCCAAAGCATTTTTAGATAAGAGATATTAAACCTGTGCAGGAGTAGTAGTGGGCAGAATAAAACTGTTGCTCTGTACGAATGCATATGCTCTGGTCCTAGGCTCAGTTCCCAGCATCTCCATTTAAAGCTAGTAATGATTCCCTGTCTGAGACCCCGGGGAGCTGTTGTAGGTCCATGAGTTAGATGCAGTAGTAGTTGAAGCAAGGCAATCCCATGCATTCCTACTCTGAAATAATTCCTCTGTTCAGTGGGATTAACTCCCTGCTACAAACTCACCTGGGGCTTGTGCATTATTTTATCCTGGAGACGGCACAGCGTTGATGCCAGTATGTGGCTGGGATGGCTCACATTTCAAGCTTGCATGACCAATTAATGTCCCTGACAAGGGTATTCGGGGAAAAATAGTTACAGTTCACGTGTCATCTTTTACCCTACTGTAGAAAAGTGTAATAACAGAGAAGGAAGAAGGAGTAGACATTTGAAGGCACTCGGCTCATGATACACACAGTGTTCTGCCTGCTCGAATTATTTGTTATCTTTGTACTCAGTATTTGACCTTACATATTAGAGGAGGTTAATTAAGGAGAACACACACACGTTACAATAAAGATTATGTGCCTTTCTGGCAGAACCCTTCGCACAAATAGATGTGGGAATTTTTTTGGAAATGCTCATTTCACAAGAATCTTGGAACTCAAGTGGAATCAGTTTTCTCAGCTCTGGATACACAAGTTTATGACAGTTACAGTTGGCATTTTGGCTGGAGTGTTCCCCACTAAAATTGTAGTGTAAGGAGGTCACTTACATGTGGTATTGATCTATAACAAGGCATTTGTGGAGAACCTAATTGCCCTTTTGCTGGTTCAGACCCCACTGACTGCTAGCATTTGGTTCCTGTGATGTGGTGGAACCTGCGTTCCCAGGGCCAGTGCATCTGAACATTTTAATGAGCAGGATTTTCTGTTACCTCTGAGCTTAGCTGCAACCTTCACAGTAATTGTGTGGAGGGGGAAATTATTTCCGTAGTCATCATCATAGGCTGTCTCTTGTGGCCGAATATGCTTGCCTTCCAAGTGAAAGGTCTTGGTGGTGGGTCCATAGGTGACTGTGGAGCCCTATTCTTGACCCAAATGTTCTTCCACAGTGAGGACATTGATTTCCAGATGGAAGGCGGTCCTGGTCAGGGTTGGCTTGACGCGCCTTCCTCTTGACGCATTGCTCCATTTTGCCCTCCATTAGTGCCTCTTCAAATTCCACAGAACTGTTGGTAACAGCTGATCACCAATTGGAACACTTGAGGGCCAGGGCTTCCCCGTTCTCATTTTAAAGGTTAGCTTTAAGCCCATGTTTAAATCTCTTTTCCTGTCCATTGACATTCCATTTTTCATTCTCGACTTGAGAGTACAGTAGTTGCTTTGGCAGACAGTGATCAGGCATTTGGACAACTTGGCCAGTCCAACTAAGTAGATGGCGGAGGATCATTGTTTCAATGCTGGTGGTCCTCGCTTCTTCCAGAATGCAGACATTTGTCTGCCTGTCTTCTCAAGAGATTTGCAGGATTTTTTGGAAGCAGCGCTGATGGAATCATTCTAGAAGTTGAGAGTGACGTTTGTAGATGGTTCACGTTTTGCAGGCATATAACAGGGTTGGGAAGACAATAGCTTTATAAACAAGCATTTTGATATCCCAAAGAATGTCCCTACAATTTCCCTGGTAACAGCATGATGTTCAAAGTGATTTGTGTGATAATTCAAAGGGTCTTTCCCCCAAATTAGCTTGGTTTTGGATAACCAATTAAGACCCATTTGCAAAAAATCCACTGGCGGCAATGAAAAAAGGTTTAGAACCACTAATGTATCAACAGACAATTTCTGGACTGCCCTTTGGTCTGTGACAAGGGGAATTGTCAGGATCCACTATACCACAGATTGCCCCAAGGAAATGCTGCCTTTAACTGAGAAAAAATTGGCCTTGAATTAAGGGCTGTGCACCAGTGTTCTCTTCAGAAGTGAAGCGGGAGGATTTATAAGCCAGCTGCACTGTGGCTAATTGAATTGAGCAGCAGATGGTGCGGAGTATGGATCATCTGACAGTGCTGAGCAGAGGATATTGAGAGCCAACAAAGTGACCTGCATAACAAATGGGTCTTATTGCCGTTCTCATAATGGTTGAGGGCTGTTTTTCAGTCTTCTGATTGGTCCAGCATTAGTGAAAACTACTCTGAAAAAGAGTACTTTAGTGATCTGGTTGGTGTGTGTTATGGACTGGATATCACGGAGTGGCTGAGATAGTGGGAACTTGTCTGGCAGTCCAGTCTTACAGGAGAGATGGATCATGGAATCATTATATAAATAAAAATGTAATGTGCATTCGTGGGATTAACATAACTCAAAAACCACTGGATGAATTGACACCAAATTTGGACACAAGACATCAGTCAGGCCAACAAGTGACCATCACTCATAAAAACACTGAAAAACACAGCGGAAGAGACTTAAAAAGCCCCAAAACAAAAAATACATTATAATGCATGTGCAAAACCACACATATATACGCAAACACACATATATACACATATACACAAATATACACACACATACATACACACACAAAACACATACACAGACTGGACCACAGGGGACGGCTAGTTAAAAATAAACCTACAATTTAAGTTGGAATACTTCCTACTGGGTATTATTGAGACTGACATGGTGGAAAACAAAGAAAAACTCTTCAGTTATCTGGTGAATGCAGCCAGAATGAATTATACCCGTTTCTGGAGGTCGAAAGAGATACCAACAAAAAACAATGGATTTTGAATTTTTTGGATATAATTAATATGGACCCTTTTAACACAAATGTTAAACCCCAATCAAAAGGAAAGCAACGTACTGGTCACCTATTAAGGATTATATGAATAAAGAAAGCATTACATTGACACACAAAACACATATACACAGACTGGGCCACAGCAACGTGTGGCAGGGGATGGCTAGTAAATAAATAAATACATGTTTCGGTATTGGAAAGGATGTCATATTGAGGAGGGGGGCAGCTTGTAGAAGCATAAAGTCGGAAGAGACCACATGGGCCATCTAGTCCATGCAAGAAAAGAATAATCAAAGTACCCTTGACAGATGGCCATCCAGCCTCTGTTTAAAAGCTTCCAAGGAAGTAGCTTCCTCTACACTCTGAGGCAGAGAGTTCCACTGTTACAGTCAGGAAGGTCTTCCTAATGTTCAGGTAGAATCTGAACCCCTCATTCAACATGCCATAATATGATAGTTGTAGTGTTGGCCTAGGATTGCGGAATATTGATCTCGCATCCTCACTTTACCATGAAGCTGATTGTATAAGCTTGGACACAGCTTGACCTACCTCTCATCCTAACGTATTTGAGAATTTGTCCCATTCCTTTGTCTTTCTTCTGCAGAGCAAAGGGACAAGTCTTAAGTGGTTTAAGCTCTTGATGGAAACCATTATTTTATGGTTTTCAGGTAACCTAGAAGGATAGACGCTTGTAAATTAAGGAATGATACATGATTCCTCGCCCACACAGTGTCCAGAACTTGCTAAATATCTTGACAGATCTACACTTAAGGAAGTGTTCAGTGTTGTATGTAAAGATTTCCTTTTTGATACGATGTCTTTCTTTTTTTCCAGCCGACCCCTTTGAAACAATGCTGAAATCTTTGTTAAGATACCAGTCTGGCCTAGGTGGAGATGTGGGCGAGAACTGCTTGAGGAAGAAGTTGTACGAAAATGGAGTAACCAAATCACTGCAGAGTAATTTCCCTGTCATCCAAAAGGTTAATAATGTCTCTATCTGAAGACTCTGTTTTGCTGTATAGGATAGGGGTGAACTTCAGCTGGCGAACTAGAGGCACTCTTTTGAAAATGGGAAAGTTTCTGATCCTGTTCAACTCCGAGCCAACCCACTTTAAATTGTTGCACTACTTCCATAAATTGGCACTACATTCCTCCATACGCCAACTTGTAAAAGTGCAATCACTGGAATAACTCATCGTTAGTTTGGCAAAATGCCTCAGTAGGATTTTGGCCCCCTTCCCAGCACTTATATGAAGGTGTTTTCTGGGAAAGGCAGCTAGTATGGCTACTGTATCTGTAAAAGGGAGGTAGTTAGTATATTGAGATATAATTAACGTCGAAGCTGCATGCTATGTCCTTAATTTAAGAATAACATTGTGGATGCATTTTGTCTAATCCTTCATCATTTGGAATCGGTTGCGACTTGAAGCCATTTATACCTGACAACTCTCCCATTCACCAGGGATTAAGAAGCCACACATTTTAAAGTGTTTGTATATTTTTAAATTGTATGGAAATGCTTTTAATGTAAGCCGCTTTTACTCTCTGAGTGGTGAGAAAAAGCAGAATATTAATAATAATATTAATAACAACAACAACAACAACAACAACATAATAATAATAATAATAATAATAATAATAGGACCTAATGTCCATGTGTGCTGTGTTGTTATGTTCATGTAAAATAATAATAATAATAAGTTTGCTTGTCTATCTAAAACCAGAGGGATTTTTTTGCCCTCAAATAACCAATATAATTTTGTCACTGTCTAAGACATTTTTCCTCACTCCTACTTTCTAAAAGTTTATACAGACTTTTTTCAAGACTGATTGGTTCTTATTCTGAAACAAAAACATAGGCTAAAAAGGTTGCAGAGAGAAGATACCTGGTGCTCTGTTAGGCCCCTTCTACACTGCCATATAATCCAGATTATCAAAAATGATAATCCATATCTGCTTTGAACTGGATTATATGAGTCTACACTGCCATATAATCCGGGTCAAAGCAATATGGATATTATATGGTTGTACAGAAGGGGCCTTAGTTGCTTTTGATCAAAGAAAGGTCACTTTCCCAAAGTGGGAAGACATAGGATTCTTGGGGACTGCAAATTAGCCTGTGATACATTTTGTCAAACTGGTTTCATTTTATTTGTTCTTTTAGAGCAAATTATTTTTTTATAATTGTTTTTATTTGGAATAAATGCTCTCAAGGGTGGAGCATAATAGAAAGGTGGTAAAGACTTTGCGTTGTATTAAAAAAAAAGAAATGTAAAACGTATACATGGAAAGTGGAGGAACAATATTCTTGAGATTAACACAGTTTCCCCTCCATTTTTCCAGCTATCCGAGGAGTTGCTAGCAAAATGGCTGTCTTTCCCAGAATCCCAGCATGTGCCCTTGTGCCAGCACATGCTTGGGTTTGCAATGAAGGCCGTGACGCAGGCCGCCATGGGCAGCCGGTTTGAGAATGATCAGGAAGTGATCCGATTCCGAAAGAACCACGATGCGGTATGCTTATGGGAGGGAGATGTTGTCCTGAATCCCACGTCACACAACAGAGGTCCCAATAATTGAAATCCAATAAAGGAAATAAATTTTATCCGTGAATGCCATTAATGCAGTTCATGAGGGTCATTTTCCAATTTGGTATCCTTCCTATATAGAGCCTCATTCCTAATTTTTAAAGTTCTAGAAAGATTGATATAAAACAAGACATTATTGAATTGGAAGGTCAGTGTGATTCGTTTGCCTTTATTTGCAGATCTGGGCTGAAATTGGAAAGGGTTTCTTGGATGGGTCACTTGACAAAAGTATGACCAGAAAAAAGATATATGAAGATGGTAAGTTGTGTTTATACTCCTTTTTCCGTGCACAGCGAGGCCCCTTCTACACTGCCATAAAAATCCAGATTTTCTACTTTGAACTGGATTATATGATAGTGTAGACTCAGGGCCCTTCCACACAGCCCTATAATCCAGAATATCAAGGCAGAGAATCCCCAATATCTGCTTTGAACTGGGTTATCTGCGTCCATACTGCCATATAACCCCATTCAAAGCAGAGAATGTGGGATTTTATACAGCTGTGTGGAAGGGGCCTCATATAATCCAGTTCAAAAGTAGATAATGTAGATTATCTGCTTTAATTGTCTGGATTATATGGCAGTGTAGAAGGGGGCTTCAATAAATTCATCCAGAATATAATACATCTCTTATTTTAGTGGGAAACCACCTATGCCCTTCTTAGGGTCTGTTCAGAGAGAAATCTAAATGGTTGTCCTAAACATTGCATCATCTTATTTTTCAGCACAGGTTGTCCTGAGTTTTGCCTCTAGTCTACATACCCTGTTTTCATGAAAAAGAAAAAGATGCTTATTCTTGCCCTGACAGGAAGTGCTTTAAAATGCAAGCTGAATAATTGGGAAATCAAATACTTTCTAACTAGAGCTAAGAGTGCTCAAGGGACCCGGAGTGCTACCCCTGTGCTGTTCAGTAGTAGTGCCTCCGGCAAACTGGATAAGATAAAGTGTGTTTGCTTAAACACTTCCAGCTGCCTTACAGCCGTTCTCCAACCTAGTACTTTGTCAGATTATGCATCTGCTTTGCCAGAGGTGTGCTGTAATTAAATATACCTCTTTCATTTCACCCACCCACTCACTGTCTCGTATTGGTGAATCCTTTCTTGTCAAGATTTTCATTACCTTGGATGCAACCTAGGCCTCTTCTGCACTGCCATATAAAATTGAGATTATCTGCTTTGAACTGGATTATGTGGCAGTGTAGACTCATATAATCTAATTCAAAGCAGATAATGTGGGTTATTTTCTTTGATCATCTGGATTCTATGGCAGGGTAGAAAGAGCATGAGGCCCACATAAAGCTGGGGAGCGGTTGGCATGTGAGAGAAATTTCCATATTTCTAGGCAGAGATTAAAAAGGGTTCATTAGTCTATGTTAGAACAAGAGTGGGAATTATGCAGTTCTCCAGATGTTATAATAAAGAAAGTTGGTAGTGGCAATCAATTGCAACATCTGGAAGACTATATGATCCCCGTTCTTGTTCTAGGTATTTTAAGGTAGCTTGAAACTGGCTATATTGATCTGTTGATGATTTCTAGAAGTTGGAAGCATATGAGAGACTTTTCAAAGGATCCTTGAAATGCCAGGATAGGAATATCTTCAGGATGCAATAAACATCCCATTCCCAAATTGAGTTTCAAGTTGACACCACCTTAATGTCTAGTTTTCTTGACAAAATTTCCTCAAAGGAGGTTTGCCATTGCCTCCTTCTGAGGCTGCGGGCCCTTCCACAGAGCCCTATATCCCAGAATATCAAGGCAGGAAATCCCACATTATCTGAGTGTAACCCAGTTCAAAGCAAATATTGTGGGATTTTCTGCCTTGATATTCTAGGATATAGGGCTGTGTAGAAGGGCCCTGAGAGACTGTGAATTGCTCGAAGTCATTCACTGGGTGTCTTTGATCAAGTGGGGATTTGTGTGGTGTTTTCTTGCTGAAAGGGATCCAGAGTTTAGAAAAGTTCCTTTAGAGGGCCAAATCCACTTGTTAGTCTTGACTAGAATGGTCCAAAGGAATCGGTGTACAAAAGTTCCAGTTAATTCAGTGGTTTAGTTTAATTGGAACTAATAATTTGATTTAGGCCTTGAACTGAGGCGTCCAGATTCCTCCAGTCATGCAGCCAGTAGCCGTAATAGCTGAGTGATACTGGGAGCTGTAGTGGGGTTATTTTTGTTTGTTTGTTTGTTTTCAATTTTCCAATCTTTGAATAGAGATATGGTGAAACGTCTATGTGTTGCTGTTTTAATGTACCTTTCCATCTATCAGCAATCCCCATGTGAGAGAGGCCTTGTGTGGGGTACTGAAGTGCACCTTCTTGTTGAATAATAACCCATTCTTTCCTCTTTTTAAAGCCCTGATGGACATGGAATTGGTCTTGAAGAAAGTGATAAAAGAGCGACAGGGAAAGAACTTGAACGGGTACATCTTTATAGATTCACTACTGCAGGGGAACCTAAGTGACAAGCAGGTATCTGCATCTGTTATGTAATTAACTGCTAATGTCATTCCCACTAGATTTGCTGCTAATTGCATCTTGGCGGATTAGATGAACTGAATCACCTGCACCATGTTTTGCTTGATCAAATCTTTTCCCTTGCAATGTGTTTATTTTCCCTGTTTCTAGCCTCGAGAAGGAATTTCTCTCCACACACATAGAAAAACAAAAGGAGGATCTGTGACTTATGACCCTGATCTATATTTTCTCCTAAAGGATGGGGAAACCGCCTTAAGACCAAAAAGAACACATTCCATTCCAGGGATATTGTGAGGGCTTTTTTCCAAATAGTGGCTGGAGCCAAAGACAGAAAGGATAGAACCGAAAACACTATCATAATTTAATTTCAGTTATTGACTGGGAAGAACTGGGTACCTGGGGAGACATTTTAGCTTTTTAAAGGGGGAAAGAAACCTGTATAAAAGTTGAGAAACTACCAAACTGTGGTGTCACGTGGAAGGTTGCTCTCTTTGGTGGAAATGGTTTAAGTGAGAGAATCTGGTTGAATCCTTCAGCAGCTCTGACAGCATTAACCTAAGTCTGAAACGACTTGAAAGCACAAAACAATAACAACAATCCTATCTCACCAGCCAAACACAGGCCCACACTTCCCATTGAAATACTAATAAGTTTACATTTGTTAAATTGTTCTTCATTTTAATTATTGTATTGTTTTTAAATGGATTTTGCACTACAAATAAGGTATGTGCAGTGTGAAGAGGAATTCATTCATGTTATTTTTCAAATTATAATCCGGCCCTCCAACAGTTTGAGGGACTGTGACCTGGCCCTCTGTTTAAAAAGTTTGAGGACCCCTGGCGTAGACCATTTGTCCTTTAGGGATCTGCCTCTTCTTGTGTACCATTTCAAACAAATTGAGTATCCCTTATCTGAAATATAGTGATACCTTGACATACGAGTTTAATTCATTCTGTGGCTAAGCTTGTAACTCAAATTGCTCATATATCAAAGCAAGTTTCTGCATTGAACTGCTATTAATCCGTTCCAGAGCTCGGTCACAGAACAAATGACACCCATTTGCCAATGTCCCATGGCGTTCAGGGGCTTCAGCCAGCCCTCCCTCCCTCTTGGCTTCTCTGCCGTCATCCATCCTTCAGAGATGGAAATGGAGAGAAAGAAAGCCTCTAATTATCTGCACGAAGACTCCTCCCTCCCTCCCTCCCTCCCTGCAAGCTTGTCTTGCCTGCGGGGCCATCTCTGGCTCTTGTCGTTGCTGAGGAGGCTCTCCTCAAACTCCCTTGCCAGCCTTGCATGGCCTGCTCTGGGCCCAAGTGACAGCAGAGTCCTTCACCAGGTGGATGGAGAGATTGATGCTCTAGCCCAGTGGTTCTCAATCTTTAGGTCCCCAGATATTTTGGCCTTCAACTCCCAGAAATCCTAACACCTGGTAAACTGGCTGGGATTTCTGGGAGTTGTAGGCCAAAACACCTGGGGATCCACAGGTTGAGAACCACTGCTCTTGCCATTCTCTCTCCACCTCAGTCTCCTGGCTGGCCACCACATTGGAAAGGGCTCATAACTTGCATGTTGAATTAAAAAATTGGACAAGCAACACCTCGTAATGCAAAAAGTTTGCTGCTTGGGACACTCGTAAGTTAAAGTTCCACTGTATTTGGTTCCAGAGGTGTTTTGAATTTCAGATATTGGAATACCTGTGTTTGTGTATACATACATACTGAGATACCTTGGAGATGGGACCCAAGTCTAAACATGGCCTTCATTTATATTTCATATACACTTATACACAAAACCTGAAAGTAGTTTTATGAAATATTTTTATAATTTTGTGCATGAAACAAAGTTTGTGTGCACTGAATAGTCTGAAAACAAAGATGTCACTATTTTAGCCACACATCTCGACAAATTTGGATTTTAGAGAAGTTCGGTTTTCCAGATAAAGGATACTCAACCTGCCTTTACATACAATCTTATTCAGGATTCGCCTACACATTTGAAGAATATGTTCATAGCACCCATATCTTTCATCCCATATTATTGAAATCAGAGAAAGCTGTTTTGATTCTTAACTGTCTTTGCAAATTACTTCAATTTCATGATTATAATCCTGATTTTGATTTATTAATGAGCCACGGTATAGAAGACCTTTGTCTATTTGAATGTTTTCTTCAATTAAAGTTATATAAATGATATGTGATAATTAGTTTTGTTTTCTAAATGTTCAGCTTGTAATCCTGCTTTTGCACTTTTAGATATCAGGAATATCTTAAATATCCTAACAACATATTGTAATCAGATTTAGCAGTGATCTGTCACCTGCTATTTCCTTCCTGCTTTCTCTTAGTCAAGATCTTTGGTGGGATTGTAAAGCAATTATCAATTCTTTCTCTTGGCACTAAATTTTGTTTCCTAGGTTTTGGAGGACACAATGATATTCTCATTGGCAGGCTCCATAATCACTGCAAAATGTAAGTACATAAAACAGGATGTAATGGGCAGACATAGACCAGTGTATGTGAAAACTCATCTCGTAATAGTTTAGTTGATCTTGGGTCTTGTTTGTTTACATTATAACACTATGTAATACAGTTTTTGTTCCTGGGTTATAAGTATCATTTCCTAATTGGTTATATCATAAAAAATGGGAAAAGTTTGTTAAACTGCAAAAACTTTGGTTTTGCGGGACATCCTGTAGCACATTTTGCTCTAGTTTTTCAATGAATATCTCAACCAATTCAACCTAGTTTGTAACATCCACAGAAACCAAGTTTGTGGAGTAGAAAAACTACTTTCAAAGTAAGTACCACGCAATTAAACAGGAAATAACACTTTCAAATCAGGAACATATTTTTTTTCAAATTTTGTTATATAGTGTAATAATTGATATTTTGCATTTTTGCGATCCTAGCACCTGGACCCACATACTCTGCCTTGAACTGGGATATATGGCAGCATGGACTCAGATAACCCAGTTCAAAGCAGATATTGTGGGATTTTCTGCCTTGATATTCTGGGTTATATGGCTGTGTGGAAGGGCCCTAACGTGTCAATGAATCTAATGAATCAAAACCCTGAAACCATAAAAAGTCATTGCTGCCTTATATAATGCACAGTGCCAAATAGTGCATTCTTTCTAATTTTGCCCCCCAAAAAGGTGTGCGTTATAGTTGCTGCCTGCTTAGAATTCTTCTTTAAAAACAAAAGTGTTGGACATTGAAGCTTCCAGCAATGGAAAGGAAAACCTTGGTGTGCATCAATGCTGTAGAATGAATCCACTTTAATTGCCTTGGTTCAATGCTATGAAATCATGGGGGCTGTAATTTTACAAGGCCTTGAGTCTTCTCTGTCAAAAAATGCTCCTCAAACTACAAATCCCAGAATTGCATAGCATTGAGACAAGGCAATTAAATTATTTATTATTTATTTATTTTCTTACTTTATTTGTATACCGCTGTTCTCGGCCCTTAGGCGACTCACAGCGGTTAACAACAGAACAGCAAAAATTCAATGCTACAACAACACGATATATAAAAACAATTAACATCATAAACACATTAAACAATTAACAGCAGTAATCATTCACTGGCGTCTCATAACTAAAACACGATCCAGATTCGTCATCCATTGTTCCATTCCTATGTTCATTTCACTCATTGCACTGGCTATTCAAACGCCTGTTCAAATAACCAGGTTTTCACTTTTTTCCGGAATACCATTAGTGACGGGGCCATTCTAATGTCCGTGGGAAGGGCGCTCCACAGCCAAGGGGCCACCACCGAGAAGGCCCTATCTCTCGTCCCCGCCAGCCGTGCTTGTGTAGCAGGCGGGATCAAGAGCAGGGCCTCCCTGGATGATCTCAGAGTCCTAGTGGGTTCATAGATGCGATCAGATAGGTAACTTGGGCCGGAACCGTTTAGGGCTTTATAGGCCAACGCCAGCACTTTGAATTGGGCCCGGTAGCAAATTGGTAGCCAGTGGAGCTGGCGCAACAGGGGGGTTGTATGCTCCCTGTGTTCCGCTCCTGTTAGAATCATGGCTGCCGAACGTTGGACTAGTTGGAGCTTCCGAGCCGTCTTCAAAGGCAACCCCGCGTAGAGAGCGTTGCAGTAGTCTAATCGGGATGTAACCAGAGCGTGGACTACCGTGGCCAAGTCAGACTTCCCAAGGTACGGGTGCAGCTGGCTCACAAGCTTTAGCTGTGCAAATGCTCCCCTGGTCACCGCTGAAACCTGGGGTTCCAGGCTCAGCGATGAATCCAAATAAATTACCGATGACATCCATCAAATAGGAGCTCCAGATGCAGCTCCTGAAACAGCTTTGGCTTTGGCTCAGCACTAAGATTGCCGTAGTATTCGAATCTAAAATCCACTTGATTTTTGGCGTGGTAATTTAGCAAAAAAAAAAGGTTGGTGTTAGACTTGAGAAGGGAAGTTGTGCTTATGGGAAGAATCATTTCCATAACTGTAGCTCTTATTCCATGAATGATAGAGCCTTCTGTTTATGGGTCAATTGTTTCAGTCAACACTCATGATCCTAAAGTGACTAGAATGTAAGGGAGGATTTTAGATAAAACATTGTTTACATTATGAGAAAACACCAGGGCTCCCCTATCCATTTTTAGGAGCAGAAATAGCCCAGTTTGCATCAATTCAAAACCTAATTGCTGTGTGTTAAAGGACATAATTTTAGGGAGTTGCATTTGAGACATTTCCTCCCATCTGTTTCTGCATTTGGTAGAAACATATGGGAGGAGAGAGGTGGAAGAGATCCTTTTGGTGCCAATGAGAATTTTGTTTTTGCAGGCCAATTGTGAAGGGAGAAGGACAGCTGGGGGAGGAAAAGAGAATGAACAAAGGACTGGGTTTGGGGGAGTTTGGGTCTGTGAATGGGATGTAGTGAAAAGAGTGGGGTGGGAGGTGTTTAAAATGTTTGCTTATTTGTTTGTTTAATAGGCTGCCTTTCTCCCAATACAGGATCCAAGAAAGGATGGGTGGATGGTGTGTTTGTGTCTGTCTATTTTTTGTTGGGAATCTCTCTCCTTTAGAAACTGCGGTTAGACCACTCCCATTCAAATCTAGACCTAGCTTTGGATAGTTATAAACAAGCCTTGGCCTTTCAAGCCTTCTCTCTAACACAGCAATGATAATAGCAGCCTACTTTACAATGTGGCTGAGATAATAACATATGTGAAACACACTTGAGCACTTAGTAGGAGAAAGCATTGTATAATTGCAGTGTGGCAGCATTACTTCAAAAGAAAGCTGAGAATTGTAAATTCTTCTCCTGGCTTTTGCAAATGTAGATTCTCATTTCCTCGAAACCCACCAAACAGCTGTTTCCTCTTTTTGTGTCGTATGATCTGTACAGCTACTTTGGTATTATTTTTAATTAAGCTAGAGTACAAGAGCTGAGAGCTACAAGAAAGAAGTTGCTCACCAAATGTATTAATTAGTTTGTTTTCTCTAACTACATTTTTTAAAATTTCAGTGTGCACCTGGGCTGTCTACTTCTTGACTACTTCACCAGAGGTCCAGGAAAAGCTTTACAAGGAGATGGATCAAGTTCTTGGGAAAGGCCCAGTAACACATGAGAAAATTGAACAACTCAGGTGTGTGTGTGAAAAAGAGGAAAGGGGAGGGAAAGGAAGAGTTCATGCATGAACATACACACAGAGATAGCAAAAGTTGGATTACAAAAGCCTACAGTCCTTGGGACATGGATATTTCTCCAGAAAGTTGGATTACAAAAGCCTACAATCCATCCACCAATGGGCTGATAGATCATGGTGACTTGGGGATTTTCAAGGTGTGTCTCTATGTAAAACAAATTCTCAATCACATTTTGATTCTAAAGGAGACAAACAAGTTGGCCTACAATAAAAAAACTCATGTTATAATACTTCCGCTTTTAAATTGCCAGTGGATTCTTGATTCTTTAAAAAAATCCATTTTCTGAGGATTTTTAAATCACTTTTGCTGGTGGCCCAGTACTCATATTGAAGCCAATTCAGAGTGCTATCTGGCTGCGTCATCTATCACCCCATTGATACTGCTAATCTTGCTGGCTTTGTGGGTGTCTTCTTCTTCCCTCACTGCTCCATGTGCGTCCCTCCCAAAGCTGTGTGCTCAGTGGAAGAAGACAATCTCCCAGGTATAGAAGGAGTGTACCGAGGTCTCCAGTCTTTGGTCCTGGGTATACAATAGCTGTGATCCCTTGCTAGAACCTCCAAACAACCTCAAGATATAGTGTGATGTTTGCATGATTGGGCTAAACCAAAATTGCCCTCATAAATAAAGTATTGGGCCTCATAACTTGGCATTGTACGTGGATATCTGGATGCCTAGACACCTCTACTTAGATATCATAATTTTAAACTTCCTACAGTTGGTTTTTATATCATTCTGTGAGCAACAATTTAGGAATTTCCTTAATAAGTAGTTTAGTCCAGCCCTGGAGTGTGAGATGATAGGGACATCATCAGCATAGAGCAATAAGGAGATTCTCCTTGTTCCGAGCTTGGGCAAATGTCCATTGAGGTCTGATAAGATTTCCTCCAGATCATTGATGAATATGTTAAGCAAGGTAGGGGAAAGGATGCAGCCTTGTCTGACTCCTTGTGACCCGGATATTTCTTCAGAAAGTTGTCCCAGGTTACCACATCTGATCTGTAGCTTACTGTCACTATATAGGGCCTTAATAAGGCCTAAAGTCTTTTATTCTTCAAGGTCTTGTCCATTTTCCCCATTGTTTATTTCTAGAGATGGAGTCAAATGCAGATTTTAAGTTCATGAAGGCCACAAACAGCTTATTCTGTAGCCGTCAGACATGTCTCTTGGCAAGATGAGAGAGCATTAAGCAATGATCATAGTTGAAGAGCTTTCTAAAAGCTGTTTGTGCCTCGGAGATTGTGTTATGTGATTCCAAGATAGTGTCCATAGAGTTTTCCCATTATTGAAAGCGGGCTAATTGGTCTGTAGTTCCCTGGGTGGCCTTTTCATATAAATTGGAACCACAATGTCTTGCTTCTAGCTAACAGGAATTTTACCTGTGTTATTAAATAGGATTGCTAGTCAATATGACAATTAGTCTTATCAGTTTATTAATCTATTTGCAGTTGTGCACCTTTTAATGCTGAGCAAATTGGGTCTTTGAACTGTCCTAAAGTTTTGATTGAGACTTAGTTACTTAGATACATGGTTATTAAGATAAGTAGTAGATTAGGCCTAAATGTCCTATCCCTTCCTGTTCTCTCATCCATGTTTGTAACTAGGAATCATATATAAATCGGATGTTTCTAGACACCCCTATTTAGTTACTTAGCTACTTAGTCTGGTAAGATCACACCCAGATTTGAAGTAAGTGTTGGAACAAACTGCTGGGGGTGAAATTTGCTGGGGCTTGTGTGAGGTGTATGTGAGCTCACAGCAGGCTCTTGGTCTTCAAAGCAAGGTTAGCCATTGAGAAAGTTATATCTCTGCTGGACCTTTGTGGCCTAGAGAAATCCACTCATGTGCTAATGGATTAATCTTGTTACCGATTGCGCTGTGACTTGCTTGGTTTAATAATGTTGAGACCTTTGTTAGGTTCCTGCTGTGTTATGGGCTCCAAGAGCTCTGCCTCTCCTCTCCATAGGAGTGTGTGCTGCCTTTTTTATTTCAAAGGAAAGCCTTGTAAATGGTATTTCTCTGCAGATATTGCCGGCAAGTTCTCTGTGAGACTGTGCGGACAGCAAAACTGACACCGATTGCTGCAAGGCTTCAAGAGCTGGAGGGCAGAGTTGACCAACATATTATTCCCAAAGAGGTAGGATTGGGAGCCAGTACTCAAATCTTTGGTTTGATGTTGCTTTATTGCAGGGATGTATGGGAAGACAATTATATATGAGGACATAATGTTTTTAGCACCTGCAGGCATGTGAACATGCAGTCATAAAGACATGTAAACTAGAGCATTAACGTCTTTTTTTTAGTTAATAATTTCAAACAATAGCGTCTTGGTTAAAAAGCCAATATATGTGTGAATGAGGCTTTTGCATGTTAACTTCTTTTGGTCATTTTTTTGCATACCTGATGGTTATTTGTAAATTATTTTTATCCAAACATACAAACAAAGAAAAACATCCCTATGAAATACAGCAACACAAAATAAAATTAAAACTACCATAATTTTTAAATTATCTACAGAAGTAACCAACACACCTTTATCTACAACACACATATTAAACAAACACCTATTAAACAGTTGCCTGTTGAATGTAACTCCTTTGTTGGCCCCTCCAAGTATCACATTATTTCTACCTTTCTACTTTTAATATGACCTTTCTATATCACAGTCACTTTGAGTTGTCTTTGGGAGAGAGAAAGCGGGGTATTATTATTATTATTATTATTATTATTATTATTATTATGAAGAAGAAGAAGAAGAAGAAGAAGAAGAAGAATGGGAAGAATGGGAAGAAGAAGAAGAATACCAGCAGTTGATTATTGCCTCCATCTTTGCTGTATAAAAGCTATATCTTTCAGGGCCCTTCCAGACAGGCTCTATATCCCAGGATCTGATCCCAGGTTTTCTGTTTATCCCAGTTTATCTGACAGTGCAGACTCATATAATCCAGTTTAAAGCAGAAAACCTAGGATCAGATCCTGAGATATAGGGAGGTATAAAAGGGGCCTTCGTCTTTCTTAAACACATTCCTCCTGATTTAACAATTGGAAGAAAAATGGCTCACTTCCAAATAAGTCTGCAAAATGCCTGGTGATACAGATACAGGCAGATACATAGGCAGAACATACAGGTTTTCATGTAGAGATATAAATAGAGGTATAAATATGGATGTGCATTTATAGGAATAATGTTATTGACAACAGTACAGAGGAAGTATTACAGTATGCAGTTCCAGAGTCCAGCAAATGCATTGCTTTGGGCTGCAACTCCCACACAGCCCTACCCAGTATGGCTGCTAGGAATTGTAGATTCTCATAGTATAATTGTAGCCCAATGATTCCAACTGCTGTTGTTCCAACAAATGGAATCTTAGGATTTATAGTTTGGCCAGAGGTAGCGAAAGTGCTCTTTGTGTGTGGGTTCTGCATCCTTTCCCAAAACTGCACATCACAAGATGGAGCCATGATAGTTAAAGTGGGCCCATACTGCTATAATTGAGTGGTGCAAAAGGGTCCTGGGAGTTGTCACTGCTCAAAATAACGTTTCCAAAGTTAATTTTGTAGTTGTGGCATTGGTGTTGGCTAAAAATTGCATTTTTTTTTTCATTCTGTTCCAGGCTCTTGTACTCTATGCTCTTGGCGTGGTGTTGCAGGACAGCTCAGCTTGGCCTTTGCCTTACAAGTAAGGCATCAAAAATGGTTTTCTATATCCCTTTGCTCCCCATCTTTGCTAATATGTTAATATGCCACTTGGGTCTGAATGGGTGGTTGGCTGTGTTGTGTCCCATTGGGGGTGCTGCATTTTAGATACAGATGGAAGATTGTATGCTTATGCTGCTGGAATGATGATGATGATGATGATAATAATAATAATAATAATAATAATAATAATAATAATAATAATAATAAAACTCATGACCATTCATAATTCACTGCATCCTCGCAGTGATGTTGACCGGCTCTATCTGCTTAGAAAGTCTGGTGGCAGAGGACTTTTACAAGTAAAACAAGCCATCGAAGAAGAAAAACATGCCCTGGCAGAATATGTCAAGGAAAGCCAAGAACCTGCTTTAATTGAAGTCAGTAATCGGAAACTTCTCAAAGTACAGCAGACAAAGAGTCAGTACAAGAAAACTGCACTCCAAACCAGAGCTGACAGCTGGCACAACAAAGCATTGCATGGGCAGTTCCTTGACAAAATTGAAGGAAAAGTTGATGAAGAGAAGACCTGGTGATGGCTCACGAATGGAACACTGAAGAAGGAGACAGAAGGCCTGATTCTTGCAGCCCAGGAGCAAGCCATCAGAACCAATGCAATTAAGGCCAGGATCGAAAAATCAGCGGATGACCCAAAATGCAGACTGTGCAAGGAAGCTGATGAAACCATGAACGATATCCTCAGCTGTTGCAAGAAAATCGCACAGACGGACTATAAACAGAGGCACAACTCTGTGGCCCAAATGATTCACTGGAACTTATGTCACAAGTACCACCTGCCAGCAGTAAAGAATTGGTGGAATTATAAACCTGCAAAAGTCATGGAAAATGAGCATGCAAAAATACTGTGGGACTTTCGAATCCAGACTGACAAAGTTTTGGAACACAATACACCAGACATCACGATTGTGGAGAAGAAAAAAGTCTGGATTATTGATGTCGCCATTCCAGGTGACAGTCGCACTGAGGAAAAACAACAGGAAAAACTCAAGACCTCAAAATCGAACTGCAAAGACTCTGGCATCAACCAGTACATGTGGTCCCAGTGGTCACTGGGTGCCATGCCAAAAGATCTCAGCCAGTATTTGGAAACAATAAACATCGACAAAATCATAATCTGTCAACTGCAAAAGGCCACCTTACTTGGATCTGTGCGCATCATTCGAAAATACATCACATACTCCTAGACGCTTGGGAAGTGTTCTGACTTGTGATTTTGTGATATGAAATCCAGCATATAGATCTCGTTTGCTGTGACATACTGTGTTTTTGTGTCAGTAAAATAATACTTTATTTGTATTCAGCCCTATCTCCCTGAGGGGACTCAGGGCGGATTCCAGTACACAACCACAAAGGCAAACATTCAATGCCTGGAAACAGTGAAACACAGAGAAAGGCAAAGGTTTCCCCTTCCGGCTCTGTGGGGTGGTGCTCATCTCCATTTCTAAGCCAAAGAGCCTGTGTTGTCCATAGACACCCCCTGGGTCAGGGGTTCTCAACCTGGGGTCCCCAGATGTTTTTGGCCTTCAACTCCCAGAAATCCTAACAGCTGGTCAACTGGCTGGGATTTCTGGGAGTTGTATGCCAAAAACATCTGGGGACCCCAGGTTGAGAACCAGTGCCCAAGGTCATGTGGCCAGCAAGACTGCATGGGGCGCTGTTTACCTTCCTGCTGAGGCTATACCTATTGATCTACTCACATCTGCATGTTTTCAAACTGCCAGGTTGACAGAAGCTGGGGCTAACAGCGGGAGCTCACCCCATCCCATGGATTTGAACCACCAACCGTCCGGTCAGCAAGTTCAGCAGCTCAGCAGTTTAACCCATTCTGCCACCACGGCCCCACAACCTCACAAGTAGCAAAAGAAGCGCATCAGCATAGGAATAGGCAACTATGCAGAAATCTGGACCACTCTCTCCAGTCAACCCCACTGCTGAGCTGCATCTCCCCATAGCAAATCCAGGGATTTCATTATACTCACCCAGTCTTCCATTGCTTTTTATCAAACAGATTTTAGAAACTGATAGGAGTTGAATGTGATTTCTAACCCCTGCCCAGTATTCTGAAGTCAGACAGGGGTAAAAACTGTTTGCGAACACATAGTTCAGCTTCCTAGGGAGAAGCTGGCAAACAAAAGGAACAACATGCACATTTTCTTCCATATTTAGACTGTTTTGTCAGTGTTACATCAGTGTAAGGTGATCTTGCAAACTGTCTTTGTCGTGTTCCATTCAACAAAGAAATTAACTTGCTTTTCTAAATGGCCATGACTTTTTGTTGGAAATGCTATGTGCAGTTTTTAAAAAAATCAACTGTGAGTATGAAATGTTGTATCTGCAGTTCAGAGGAGAAAATGTCAACGAAGGCCTTTTCTTCTGGAGGTCACGCAGGGTCTCTCCCATTATTTCCAGACCTGAATGTGTTTTAGTTTTGTTTTGAAAGGATTTGGGCTTCAAAACTTCAATTTCACAGCGTGGCAGGAAATGTTGTAGCTCTCCGTAACCTCCAGATGGCAACTTCTAACATCGTTCAGGAGAAAAGCAAGGGCAGGGCTGAAGCTGGAATAGAAAGACTTACTTTTATAATTCGTGGAGGCATTGAGTTTAATTGAAGGAAAACTTCTCTGAAGTCACTCTTCTTCCTCTAGATATTGTTACTTTAGTTTGGGAAGTGAAGAGGTGAGAGAGACTCGAAGCAGTGGAACTATAACTGCGGATGTGTCTCTAAGCAAGTCACCAGGCGATCCTGGGCTGCATCATTAGGAGTGTAATTGAAGGAAGTCATGGTCCCACTTTATATTGCTTTGGTCACACCTCACCTGGAATAACACTGTCAAATCCTGGGAACTGCAATTCAAGAAGGATATGGATAAGCTGGAATGTGTCCAGATGAGGGCAACCAAAATGGTCAAAGGTTTGGAAACCATGAAGCTTAGGGAGCCTCAGCATATGGAAGAGATTGAAATATCTGAAATGATGTCCCATTAAAGACAGAGGAAGTATTTCTGAGGCTCTCCAGAGACTAGGACATGGATTCAAATTACGAGAGAGAGAGAGACAGAGAAGGATTCCACCTAAACATTAGGAAAACCTTTCTGGTAAGGGGTTTGATCCCAACTGGTGGGGGAAATGAAGGACAAAGGCCGTTATAGTAGTCAAGATTCATATGATATGAATGGTCTGCTTATCCCCATAAGTAGAATAATGGAAAGAGTGGGAAATAAAAATGGGGTAAAGGTATTAGGCTTATACAATAAATTGAAACAGGGAAAATATGGAGAATGTGTAGGAAAGTAAGATGGAGAATATAATTAGAAAATTACAGAATTCAGAGAAAGAGTGGGCTGGAGTAACAGACCAATGGATGATCAAAGATGACAAATAAAGGGTGGTACACACATATGTGGTGGGAATGTCCAAAGGCAAAGGACTTTTGGGGAAAAATAGCAAAGAAAATGGATAAATTATTTAAAATAGCACTCCAAGTAAATATGGATTTTATGTTAACGGGAATATTAGGAAACAATAAGATCAATATAAAAAAAAGATTTATTTAAAGTGATGATCTTAGCAGGAAAGGCGGCAATAGCATGGGTAAATATGGAAAATTGAAATAACTATTTGTTGGATCAGGTCCGATCGGATATTATAGCAAGTTTAATTCGAGAAGATAAGCAAGAGGATGAAATGTGGCAGAAAATCTAAGAGAAGTGGTTGATTTATATGGAATGTATAAAAATGTGAAGCCAATATAATTATTGTACAGAGATTAGAAAATTGTGTTCATGGATGAAGTTAAAGTTATAATGGAAAATGTGGTATGAGTATGGGTGGGCGGGGGGGAGGTGAACAGAATTAAGATATTTTAGATATATGAGTAGATAATATAGAAATGAACAAGAGTGGGAAATAGGAAGAAGAAGGAGAAAAGTTGTATTAAATACAATATGTGCATGGAATAATTGTGCATTATCTACTCACATAACAGTCTATAATGCTATAGTACAATATAGTAATATATAATACTGATATTGTACTGTGCTAATAATATAATATATTGTATGTATATATATCTTGCAAGCCGCTCTGAGTCCCCTTCGGGGTGAGAAGGGTGGCATATAAATGTTGTAAATAAAATAAATAAATAATATACCTAATAAAAATGATTTTTTTTAAAAAAAGGAAAACCTTTCTGACTTTAAGAGCTATTCTACTGTACTGAGCTAATAATATAATATATTGTATGTATATATATCTTGTAAGCCACTCTGAGTTCCCCTCGGGATGAGAAAGGTGGCATATAAATGTCGTAAATAAAATAAATAAATAATATACCTAATAAAAATTATTTTTTAAAAAAAAAAGGAAAACCTTTCTGACTATAAGAGCTATTTGACAGTGCAATAGATTGCCTCAGAGAGTGGTGGACTTTCTTTATTTTGGAGCTTTTAAAATAGTGATCAGATGACCATTTCTCATGAATTCTTGCGTTCTATGCTCTTACATGGCAGTGGGTCTAGCAAATGGATATTAGGTTCCCATCCATTATGCAGAGAGAGTGGTGAATGCAGTGTTGCTTTAAAAAAACCCCACCTTAAATCTTTTATTCACATCCATGTCTCCAAACTCTGTGAGTGCATTTTCGGTCCTGCGAGTTGAATGAAACTACGACGCAAACCTTTGCATTTATATTCAGTTACTAAAGTGATACAGGAAATGGTTTTCGACAGCAGAAACAACGGGTGATTCAGAAGGTGGCGATAGAAGGAGGACAAGAAAACAAAACATTTTCCTCACCGCAGGGACCCAGGTCAATGAGAGACCTGGGGCAATTGCACCATTTAACTTGATGATAATCCAGCCGTGGTCTTGGAACATCTCTGCATTGTGCTTTATTGTTTTATTATTATCGTGTATTTATATAGCACATTGCCCTTTACAAGAAAAGACAACAAAGCTGTCCCCTGCCCTCTGGTTACAACCTTGGAGAGTGTTATATTTTTCACATTGCTCTTATAAAAAGGCCAGCTGGAATTTACAGGAAAACAAATTCTCATTGGCCATGAAGAAGAGGAAGGTGGAGAACTGTAACATACAGTTGACGACTTGGATTTTAATAAGGATCTGGTATCCAGTAAAACACCGTGCTTTTGACAATTGTGCACATGTTCTGGTGTGACCTCTAATCAGTATTATGTGTTGCAGTAAATACTTTTCCCCCCTCTGTGGAAGTAAGCAACCCGGCATCACCTTCCTGCCTTGTCAATCCTTTAATTATGGGATTCTTAGCATTAATTTGGGCCAGGCTGTGTAATTGCTTGTTTTAAAAACCTCGCTGACCCGATGGTGAAACAAGCTTTTCTTTCTAATGAATCATTGCCTCCTGTGTGCACATTTGTTCACATGCCAGCTGGGTTGAGGGAAAAAAACGGGAGGCGGCTCAGCGCAGGCAGCAGGGAAAGAAGCAGGAGCAGGAGAAATTACATGGCAACGCTCCAACCAAATGGTGCAGAATCGAGGGTTAGGATTGATCCAAACAACAGGGACCCATTGTAGCCCCTTCTTCATTGTGGTCTCTGTGAAATCACACTCTGTGAAATCACACAGTTCAAAACAGATGAACACATAATCCAGTTCATCTGCTTTGAACTGGATTATATGTCTACACTGCCATATAATCCAGTTCAAAGCAGATAATCCGGATTTTGTATAACAGTGGAGAAGGGGCCTGGATTTTGTGCCGATCTGTTTCTCAATGTGTTGAGATGACTTTTTCCTGATCAGCTTTTGTAGGAAGTCCACTAATCACTGTCTTCTGCCTTTTCACTACTATCATCCCATTTTAGGTTTGATCCTGACAGGTTCAGTGATGAATCTGCAATGAAAAACTTCTCCCTTATGGGTTTTTCAGGAAGCCAGGAATGCCCTGAACTAAGGTGAGGGAATAGCACATAATTTTTTTTGTCTTTAAAAAAAAGTGGGAGTGATCCATTCCTTCTGAAGTTTTGGTAGCATTCATCTAGTTCTGTCTATGTGATGGAGTCTGTGATCTTTGGTATTCATTCTCGCTTGGGCCCCAAGTGAAGTGGATGGGGGAAAGTTACTGGACTTCTTGTTCCCATCTCCATTCCAATCCCCGTTGTCTGTGCTCTGCAAGAAGATCCCTCCTGACTAATGAGTCTGGAAGGAATCACCCCAAATTGAACAAGAGCAGCTTTCTGTTTGGGCTGATTCCCTATCCCTTGTCCATATGACATGTTGAGGTGGCCACTCTACCTCCATCATCATCCACAGAGGCTTTGTCCTCGGTCTGAAATGTTCGTTTTCACAAATTTGTGTTAGTCATGCACTTTCTAAAACTTGTTTTTGATATCATACTTTTAGTGTAAGTCACTTTAAGTCTCCTTTGGGAGAGATAAAGCAGGGTATAAATAAACATAATAATAATAATATCTAGGATTTTTAATATTTTGCTGTTTTGCTAAACTTCTGTTTTGATGGATTTGATTAGTTCTATTTTCACTTGTGGCAACTATATTGAGTCTTAATATTAGGGAAAGAGTGGGATTATTATTATTATTAGTAGTAGTAACAAAAATACTAGTACTCTTTTTATGATGTTGAGCATTGAATTTTGCTATTGTTAACCGCTTTGAGTCACCCAAGGGCTGAGAAAGGCGGTATATAAATGAAGTAAGTAAGTAAGTAAATAAATAAATAAATAAATAATACTCCTAGGAACAAAAAAGGAATACAGGCAATCCCTGGGTTACAGACATCTGACTTACAAATGACTCATAGTTAAAAACAGGGGTGAGACAACAGGAAGTGAGAGACATCTTCCCCTCAGAATGGAAATTCACTCCTGAAAGAGTTCTCATGGGGAAAGCTTTAGCATCAATCCTTGTTTCCACAACAACCCAAATTTTTCAGAATCAAATTATCCCAAGGATAGAAAGTGAAGTGAAATCTTCTGAACAGGGGCACAGACAGCAGAATAAATATCTCAGGAGTGTTAACCTTTCCCTGTGTTATCCAAAAACTAAAAAATATTTACATTTTGCTGAAGTTACACTTTAAAAACGTCCCTGTTCCAACTTACAAACAAATTCAAGAACAAATCTACACAACCTATCTTGTCTGTAACTTGGGGACTTCCTATATGTCACTCTTCAAATGATAAGCAATTATAATGATATTAATATTGACAATAATAATGCCACATTACCTCATTATCTGAAGAGTTATTTGCTCCTGTTTTATTATTAGTAGTTAGAAAATACCATTTTAAATATTCTTTAAAATAGTAGTGATAATAACAACTATGATAGTTATTATTCAGTCTTACTCCAAATATGAATTAAAACAGAAACAGAAAAAATGGATAATATGAAAGAACAACTAAACAAATAAAATGTTAAATATAAAATACAATAAAATAATAATGATGATAAAAAATATAAATACAACACATACCATTTCAAATTATTGCCTTCAGTTAACAAGTTCTGCTCAGTTGTCCTAGAATCTCTCTTGTCTTCTCAATTTCTGTCTCTTTTTTGATCGCTAGGTTTGCCTATGCGGTTGCGACAGTCCTGCTGAGTGTGATTGTGAGAAAACTTCACCTGCACCCTGTGAAAGGTCAAGTCTTGAACACCAAGTTTGAGCTTGTCACATCACCAAAGGAAGAAACATGGATAACCATATCCAAGAGAAGCTGAGAAAGAGTATAAAGTCATATTTTGGCAGAAGAGTCTTCTTAACACCAGTTCATCACCATTTTGGTGTTATAGGGCAACGATCTCTAGGCATTCTCAGCCTAAGATGCTTCCCCTGTTCCTGAACTGAAATGGTCTCACCACAGTAAACTCCAGTTTGCCTTTTGCCTTATTGTAAACCAACATGTAGGGTTCAGGAAATAGTATAATTTTGGTTGGGTTTCAAAAAAGAAATTAGAGACACTCTCAGAAATCAGAACTGCAAGGGAAGCACATGGAAAATTGTGGTAAGGTGTTCTGCACGTGGACAAAGGAATCTTTTGTAAAACTTTTTGTATATATAATAAAAATCACATGTTCAGAATTAAAATGTCACACAGAGATTCCCAGTGCGGATGGATCCCAGTGAGGCCAGATCTTAAATGTAAGCCCTGATTTGGCAACAAAAGACATAGGCCAGCACACTGTTCATTAAAAAGACTAAACTGGATGCTAGAAGAATTATTAAAAATATTTAAAGTGTCTTCAGAAATTGTAGTTGCCACTACTTTGTCTTGAGCTGTGGTTAAGGTAATTTGTTTTGTAATAGAATTGGAGAAGTCTATTGATGAGTGTTTGAGATTGCTTCCAAAAGCAGATAGGATACTACCACAAATACACAGAATGCTTATTTATACCTCTTTCAGGGTTTGATCCAATGTAAATTAGTCATTATAAAATGGACAAAGTTAACCAGGAGTTTCCATAAAGGCACTTAGTGGCATGAATGTGAACTGGATGGGAAGTGGACTAATTCAAGTGTGGTTCAATACAGACAGAATCCATACATAATATTAGTCAAAGTGGTTTTGTTTACTGGGTTGTTGTAGGTTTTTTCAGGCTATATGGCCATGTTCTAGAGGCATTCTCTCCTGACTTTTCGCCTGCATCTATGGCAAGTGTCCTCAGAGCAAGCATCCTCACTACCTCTGAGGATGCTTGCCATAGATGCAGGCGAAACGTTAGGAGAGAATGCCTCTAGAACATGGCCATACAGCCCGAAGAAACCTACAACAACCCAGTGATTCCAGCCATGAAAGCCTTCGACAATACATTGGTTTTGTTTACTTTGGAATATATTCACCGCAAGTTACCTACCAGTAGAAGGATATTGTCTTGCTATTTTTTTTAACCCACAGCTGCTTCTATAGATTTTGGAGAGAGGTCAAGCCATTTCTACTAATAATACAATGTTTTGTTTTATCTGAATGGAGCGTGGATCAAAATGAACCCAAAGCAATCTTTCTATACGTTTACCCCATTACATGTCAAATATTCTACAATTTGATCAAGTCTCCATTCAATCTGTCTGTCTCTCTTTTTTGTTCCTCCCCTCCTCTCGTAATCTTTTTTTGACTTTTAAAATTGCAAATAGTTGTAGTATTTGTATGCAATACATTTAATATAGAAAGTAAGCAACCCAACAAGTGACTATATATATATATGAACGTCTCCTGATGACCAATATAGAAATCAAATAGGCTACATAGTTGGAAGCAAAAGATGGAGAAGCTCCATTCTCTTTGTAAAAACAAAATTGTGGAATTACTGGTAGCAAAAATTAGAGTAAAGCTCAAATAACACTAAACTAAGTATCATGCTGAAGTACAACCAGAAGAACATCCCTATAGAATTTAAAGATTAAAAATTTAAAGGTGAAAAAAATCGATGTACACTTTTAAGCCCAATTGACCCGGAACCAGAAGCACACTGGACTGAAGTGAGGGACATTTCCATGGAAGAATGCAAAAAAGACACTTTCTGCAGCCAAAAAGACCTCAGAGTCAATGGATGACATGAAACTCTTCAAGTAGTTATGCTTACGTTGTTAGTATTGTTATTTTTGCCTATGTTGTGATTCTGTATGTGCTGGTGTTGATACTTGGAAACTGTCCTGAGTCCCTTCGGCGAGATAGAGCAGTATATAAATAAAATTATTATTATTATTATTATTATTATTATTATTATTATTATTATTATTACTATTAAATGTAAAAGGTAATTGAAATAGAGTAAGAACCGGAATGCAACTTTTTATTTACAGGGACAAGGAAAACTACTATCAGTGCAAAGAAATAGAAGGTTACAACAAAAAAGGAAGAACAAGAGAGCTCTTCAGCAAGATCTCAGAAATCAAAGGGAAAGTTAAACCATGGTTGGGGATGCTCTATGACTAATAGGGCAGTACAGTACATGACCAAGTAGAAATAAAAAGACAATGGAATCATTGCACAAATATATATATATATATATAAGAGATGAAATGTTGACAGGTGCATTAGAGGAAGAATCACATGAACTTGGTTTAGAAAGTGAAGAGGAAGCTCTTTGGAGAAATAAATCACCAGGAACAGATGACATTTCAGCCAGTTTACAGAGACAATGTACTCCAGTTCTAACTATAATCTGGTTATAAATATGGAAAACAAAAACAAAAATGGCCCACAGATTGGAAACACTCGAATGCATTGCAGTCCCCAAAGGAAGGCAACACTAGGGGTTGCAGTAACCACAGGAACATTGCAATAAGTGATGCTCAGTATTTTACAACAAAGACTGTTATATGGACTGAGAAATGCCAGCGATCGAAGCTGGGTTTGGGAAAGGAAAGGCACTTGGGATCATATTGTGTACACGTTGAATAGTGGACCACACTCAAGAATTTTTTTAAAAAAATCAGCCTATGCTTTATAATTTGTAGCAAAGCACAAATCAGGATTCACTCTGAGTTGCTTATTAAGAAATGGATTTGCCACAACATTTGTGTAACTTGACGGAGCCCCTGGTGGTGCAGCGGGTTAAACCGCTGAGCTGCTCAACTTCCTGACCAAAATGTTGGCTTGAATCCAGGGAGTGGGGTGAGCTCCCTATGTTAGCCCCAGCTTCTACCAACCTAGCAGTTCGAAAACATGCAAATGTGAGTGGATCAATAGGTACCGCTCCAGTGGAAAAGTAATGGCGTTCTACGCAGTCATGCCGGCCACACGACCTTGGAGGTGTCTACAGTCAATGCCAGTTCTTTGGCTTAGAAATAGAGATGAGTACCAACCCCCAGAGCCGGACACAACTAGACTTAATGTCAAGGGGAAACCTTTATTCAAGTCAAGAGACCACTGTTAGGACAGAGCACAGAGAAATGGAATTGTTTCTAATTGACAAGGGAATTGGGCATGGATGTATTTAATCACACAATCAGTTTAACATATATGATACGATCTGAAGAGAAACTGGAGTATACGTAAATCAGGATTAGTCTTGACGAGAGGATACATAAAGAGTGAAGGAAGGAACATCAACAATTTTAAACATGCAGATCACCCCGTACTACTAGCAGAAAATAAGAATGATCTGGAACATCAGGGCAGAAAGTACAAAGGCAAGTTGGGCCTGAATTCTCCCATTTAGCCAAAACGACTAAATTGAAACTATTGTACCTTGGACATATCATGAGAAAAAATGATTCATTAGGAAAGATAGTAACATGGAGGGCAGTGGGAAAGAGGAAGACCTGATTCCAGCTGGATGGATTCAATCAGGGAAGTCACAAGATGACTTGGAGGTCTCTTATTCGTAAAATCCACGTGAAAGCAATTAATGACAACAACAATATGATAAGATGAATTTAACAGACTGTGTGAAACCTTTAATATTAGAAATTTTGGGATTTTGGCTATCAGCAAGGTGAAGGTAAGGTTGATTTTACCATGACGTGTGAATTGGCCTTAAAGCTTGAAAAAGTTATTTACATAGCTTTGTAGAATAGTTAAGTTCTGTAGGTCTGTCTTGTTATTATGTAGCCTCTTCCTCCCCAAACTAACCTCTTTCAACACACTAGATTGGTATGGAATGTACAGATACATAAACTTTTTCCTAGTTCCAACAGACCTCACAACCTCTGAGGATGCTTGCCATAGATGCAGGCGAAACGTCAGGAGAGAATGCCTCTAGAACATGGCCATATAACCCGAAAAAACCTACAACAACCCATGAAAAGTACTCTTCCAAAGGGCTGGGGTACAGCAAATGAGAGGACCAAAATATGGATGTTGCCCCTAAATAAAGAATTCCCCAGTCCCCAAATTTCCAGCATTGCAGCAACTGGGATACTGAAAATCATTCCCATCTATAACTATTCGCTTTGTTCACATTCCTTGATAACTTTGCTTTCCCATTCACTCTTTGGATACCTAAATGTTCACATTATGTTTTAAGTTATTGCAGTGCCTGAAGGAAAATTTCATGAGAGAGTTCATATTTGCAAGCAGGCAATGCTCTAATTTTGTCTCTTCCACCCCACCCAGCTACGCCTCTGATCTTCAGTAAGTATGAGCTAGTGCATGGAATAGTGTTTTACAGCAGGATATTGGGCAAGTGAACTCTCTGGACCCCTTCCAGCAGTACGCTTCTGTGATATTTTTGAGGTTAGTACAATGTTTGATTTGCTTGCTCTCCAAAGCGATCAGAGTTTCTCAATGCAAACGCTTCACAGCTCCATTCTTGTGTACAGCATCAGAGCTAAGGAGGGATTGTTAGAAATTGCTGATCTCAGGATTCATGATGCATGTCTTAGGCATGGCTGCCAGGGTTTAAAAAAAAACAAACCAGTTTCAGCATCAAGACCGCCAATGTTCCCAAGCATGACCTTAGAGAATTGTATTTTAAGAAGCAATCATATACACACGTAGTCACATGGGGGAATAGCAAATAGTATAGTAGAGTTTCATAAATGACCAAAGTAAATGCAGAATAACCAACTTGCAAGGCTGTGAAGGTTTGAAATTAAAAATTTGAAGCTGTAAGGTTGTTTAAGAGGCGAGATGAGAAAAAAGGTTCACAAATAATGTTAACACAATACTCTGCTTAATATACACGTGCATGTATATGTGTGTACATGTGCACACATGAGAAAGGACTGGGCATAATGCGGTTTTTGGGAGGAGATGCCAGAGTCGGCTTACTCAATCTTGAGACTTGAGAGGCAAGAAGTGGACATATATGATCTTTTTTTTTTATTTCGTGTCAGGGCAGCCATTCAATTATATTACATTTCTAACAGAACAAAGCAAACAAACAGACATAATACAAAATTTGTGAGTTTGGTAGTTGATTAAATGTCCTTTGACCAGTAGCTGGCCACTTGGAGTGCTTCTGGTGTTGCTGCAAGAAGGTCCTCCATTGTGCATGTGGCAGGGCTCAGGTTGCATTGCAGCAGGTGGACAGTGGTTTGCTTTTCTCCACACTCGCATGCCGAGGATTCCACTTTGTAGCCCCATTTCTTAAGGTTGGCTCTGCATCTCGTGGTGCCAGAGCGCATTCTGTTCAGCGCCTTCCAAGTCGCCCAGTTTTCTGTGTGCCCAGGGGGGAGTCTCTCATTTGGTATCAGCCATTGATTGAGGTTCTGGGTTTGAGCCTGCCACTTTTGGACTCTCGCTTGCTGAGGTGTTCCAGCGAGTGTCTCTGTAGATCTTAGAAAACTATGTCTAGATTTAAGTCGTTGACGTGCTGGCTGATACCCAAACGGGATGAGCTGGAGATGTCTCTGCCTTGGTCCTTTCACTATTGGCTGCTACTTCCCGGCGGATGTCAGGTGGTGCAATACCGGCTAAGCAGTGTAATTTCTCCAGTGGTGTAGGGCGCAGACACCCCGTGATAATGCGGCATGTCTCATTAAGAGCCACATCCACTGTTTTTTAGTGTGGTGAGATGTGTTCCACACCGGGCATGCATACTCAGCAGCAGAGTAGCACTGCGCAAGGGCAGATGTCTTCACTGTATCTGGTTGTGATCCCCAGGTTGTGACAGTCAGCTTTTGTATGATATTGTTTCTATCACCCACTTTTTGCTTGATGTTCAGGCAATGCTTCTTGTAGGTAAGAGTACGGTCCAGAGTGACTCCCAGGTATTTGGGTGCGCTGCAATGCTCCAGTGGGATGACAATATATGATCTGATTCCAGGTTTTTGGATTTAAACTGGATTATATGAGTCCGCACTGCCAGATAATCTGGAATAAACAAATAACCAGGGATTAGATCCTGGGATACAGGGCCTGTCTGGAAGGGCCCTTAGTCTATACGGCCATATAACCCAGTTCAAAGCTTTGATAACCTGAATTATTTGGCGGTGTAGAAGGGGCCATAGAATCTCAACCAATTCAACATGGTTTGTGGCAGCTACAAAAACAACTACTTGCAAGGTAAGTACTGCACAATGAAACAGGAAATAACACTTTCAAACCAGGAAGAGAATTATTTTCAATTTCTGTTACATAATGTAAAGCTATAATTCCATAGTCTGAAAATAGTGCATAATGTGAAAGGACCTGTTGTCTGATCTTTGGTTCACTGAACACTAGGCATGCCCCCCAGAAAGCAAAACGCATCACAGCTTTTTCCAATGCTTATGCAAAATCAATTTCCTTTAAGTTTACAGATGTTTCCAGCACCCTTGGAAACAATGCTAGTTAAAGGAATTTATTTTAAGCGTATGTCCCCAGGGAGGGATGAGGGATGAATACATGTTTATTTCCAAAGTCATCTCTTTAAAAAATGTTCCCTTCTTAGGGAAAAAAATGACAGTATAACATTGGAAGTGCTGTCTGGGCGTTCTTGATGCTTGCACACAATCCAGCATTTTGAGACAGCCACACAATGCTAATGGATGCAGCAGACAGGCACTCGGAAAATCTCCTAAAATAACTGTCCCAATGAATCCATCTCCAATGGCAAGCCGTCCTCGAAAAAGGAAAGTAATTGTTACACGTGCCACATAATCCTATGCATGTTTACTCTGAAATGAATTCCACTTCTCCTCCTCCAGAAACGAGGACGCGGATTACAGGAAACGAGATTCCACATTAGGAAGAACTGCCTGACAGTAAGAGCTGTTCAACAGTGGAATATGCCACCGGACTATAATTATATCTCCTTCTCTGGAGTTTCTTAGACAGAA